ATAAAGAGAGACATCGTCTAACAGGGCGACCCCCTGCACCAAACCAACGATGGACTCAAATAGACCATATTGCCATCAGTCATCGTTGGAGAGGGTCAATAGAAGATTGTCGCTCATTCTGGGGTACCTGCTTGGACTCTGATCATGCCCTAGTACGAGCACGCATCTGCTTGCGCCTCACTGGACGCAAAAGAGCCACACAAAAAAGACTCATTAGAACCGAATTGAGTAATGAGAAAGCCAAAAGTAGGTTCCAGGAACAACTGAGGTCACACTTAGGTAGTTCTGAAAACGAGACTGACCCAGATGTTGCTTGGAAAGTTATACAAGCAGCTGTGGAAACAGCAGTGACATCTACCAGTGATTTAAACCACAGGGTTACAAAAAACCAATGGATTTCGTCAAGGTCTATTGCACTGATAGATTCTCGCAAACTCATCCCATCAGGTTTTGAATACGATGAAGAGCGTAAAGAAATCAAATCTAGATTAAGCAAAAGTCTAAGGAATGATCGTGAGCAGTGGTGGGCAACGAAAGCAAAAGAGATGGAAAAGGCGGTGGCTATAGGGAACACAAGACAACTCTACAGACTAATAAAAGAAACTGGAATTAATAAATCAAGTGTAAGTCAGACCATTTCGGAAAAAGACGACACTCTCATCTGCTCCCAGTCCAGACGCTTAGAACGATGGGCGGAACACTTTAAGGAGCAGTTTAGCTGGCCTTCAGCTACTCTACAACTACCCTCTATTCCCAGACAGTGTGAATGGAACATTGAAGTAGGTCCCCCAACTCTAGCTGAAGTTCAAAAGGCTATAGTTAATCTGAAACGAGGAAGGGCAGCTGGTCCAGATGAATTGGCCCCAGAGGTCTTTAAGGATGGTGGTCTAGTTTTAGCGATTATGTTGACTAACATTTTAGCTAAAATCTGGGAGTTAGACGTTATTCCATCTAACTGGTCACAATCACTTATCGTCCCAATATTTAAGAAAGGGTCAAAATCATTCTGTGACAACCATACAGGGATTAGTTTAACTAATATAGTATCTAAAATACTAGCCTCGATAATTTTCGGACGCCTAACTAAGACTCGTGAACTGCAAACACGTGAAAATCAGGCTGGCTTCAGACCTGGTCGTGGCTGCATTGACCACATATTCACCATTCGTCAGGTTCTAGAACACAGGCATACTTATCGGCGTCCGACAATGGTGGTATTCCTTGACTTAAAAGCAGCGTTTGACTCTGTTGACCGAGAGGTTCTGTGGCAGTGTCTGTCATTGAAAGGCGTACCTCAGAAGTACATAAACCTTGTGAAGGCTCTTTACTCGAACACTACTAGTCGGGTCAGAGCCTATGGCGAACTGTCATCTGCTTTTGCAACCTCAAGTGGCGTCCGTCAACGCTGTCCACTTTCTCCTTTTTTGTTTAACTTTATCATAGACATCCTGATGGAAATAACGCTCTCATCGACTGACTTCTCGGGTATTGATCTCCTACCAGGAGGTCCACTTATTGACTTAGAATACGCAGATGACATAGTCCTGTTTGGTGAAGACGCTGATGAAATGCAGTCTTTTGGTAGCACTGAGCAACAATGCCAGAACGTTTGGGATGCGCTTCTCTCCCTCTAAATGCAAGTTGTTGCTTCAGGACTGGTCTGCATCAACACCTGAACTAAGGATAGGGGGTGAAGTAGTCGAACGCGTTGACAACTTCACTTATCTTGGAAGTCTGATCAGCCCTAATGGGTTGGTGTCTGACGAAATCTCAGCACGGATTCGAAAAGCTCGCTTGGCCTTTGCCAACTTACGTTATCTATGGCGAAGGCGAGATATCCGTCTATCAATTAAGGGACGAGTATACTGCGCGGCAGTTCGTTCCGTCCTTCTATACGGCTGCGAAACATGGCCTTTAAGAGTGGAAGATATTCGTAAGTTACTAGTATTTGACCACAGGTGCCTTAGAAATATTGCTGGAATCTGCTGGGATCACCGGGTAAGTAATAGTGAGGTTAGACGCAGGGTATTAGGGAATGATGGTAAATCAGTTGATGAGGTTATGAATCTTCATCGACTGAGATGGTTGGGCCACGTGTTGCGTATGCCTGAACACCGATTACCACGACGCGCAATGATGACTAGTGCAGGGGATAATTGGAAGAAAGTTAGGGGCGGCCAAACCAAAACGTGGCATCAGTCAACAAAGTCACTAACTTCTGGTCTGAGCCATGTTGGGAGATTCAGACTGCCTGGTTGGGGTCCGCGTGACTATCGTAACCAATGGTTGGAGACTCTTGGTGACATGGCTCAGAATCGATCACAATGGCGTCGATGTATACACTCTCTGTCTTCCTTAAATTAAGAGACTAAAATCGCTTCATATCTTTCTTTCTACGAACTAATTCTTTCTTCCTTTACTATCTCCTTATACACAATCTTTCTTCTATATATTACCACCACTGAATCAACTACTTTTATGAATCCGGTGTTCATCTCGTTGTGCTAATGCGGTATGGCAACTTGGACCGATGCATATACGTGCCTGGTCCTACGTTGCAGCTGACTGACTGACTGACTGACTGACTAATAATGATCAAAGATGCTTTCATCAATTACAATGGAATGTCTAAAATTCCCTTAAATATACTAGTGAAAATATTACTAAGCCGTATCAGGTGTTGAAGATAATTATTTTGCCACATAGAACACCAGATGATTAGTTAACCATTTAGTATTAGAACAACAGATCGTGTAGTGAATGAAACATGAGATTTCTTATACGTTAACTTACAAACCATGTGGTGTTCATCTTACTTACTTACGCCTGTTACTCCCCTTGAAGGAGCATAGGCCGTCCAACACTATTCTCCATCCAACCATCTCCCAAGCAATCCTTTCCAGATATTTTCAGTTCTTATTCATCCCTATCATATCTGCTTCTATTTTCCGACATAATGTGTACTTTGGCCTTCCTCTATTCCGCTTCCCTTCACCATTCCAAGTTAGGGCTTGCCTCGTGATGCGGTCTGATGATTTCCTCAATGTATGTCCTATCCATTTCCATCGTCTTTTCCTAATTTCCTCTTCATCTGGAAGCTGGTTTGTTTTCTCTCACAAAAGGCTGTTGCTGATGGTATCCGACCAATGGATGTTGAGTATCTTGCGTAGACAGCTTTTTGATAAATACTTGTAGTTCTCCACGTTTCAGCTCCGTACAATAGAACTAACTGTCTTGACGTTGGTATCAAAGATTCTCACTTTGATATTGGTTGAAAGTTGTTTTGAGTTCCATACGTTCTTCAGTTGAAGGAATGCCGCTCTAGCTTTGCCAATCCTCGCCTTGACGTCTGCATCTGAACCTCCTTGTTTATCGACGATGCTTCCCAGTTATGTGAAGGATTCCACGTCTTTCAGAGTTTCGCCATCAAGAGTGATTGGATTGCTGTTCTCCGTGTTGTGTTTGAGGACCTTGGTTTTCCCTTTGTGTATGTTGAGGCCTACTGATGCAGAGACTGCTGCTATGCTGGCTGTCTTTATCTGCATTTGTTCGTGTGTATGTGATAGGAGGGCTGGGTCATCTGCGAAGTCCAAGTCGTCTAATTGGTTCTGATCTGTTCATCGTATACCGTGGTTTCCCTCAGATGTCGAAGTCTTCATAATCCAGTCGACCACCAGAAGAAAGAGGAAGAGACAGAGTAGACAGCTTTGTCTGACTCCGGTCCTTACTTGGAATGGGTCTGTCAGCTGTCCTCCATGCACTACTTTGCACTGTAGTCCATCGTATGAGTTCCGGATAATGTTGACAATCTTCTCAGGAACTCCGTAGTGTCGAAGAAGTTTCCATAACGTCCTCCTATCTACACTGTCAAATGCCTTCTCATAATCAATGAAGTTGATGTAGAGTGACGAGTTCCACTCAATCGATTGTTCGACGATGATCCGTAATGTCGCAATCTGGTCTGTGCACGTATTCATCAGTCTTCACAAAATAATGCATATTACATTCATCATTTATTAGAATAATGTTAACAGGATAGAGAATCCTGACGATTACATGCTCAATGAACGCCCAAATCTATGATGATCGGTTCGTTTTTAGCAAGAAAACACGAATGGACAAATCATATATATATATATATATATATATATATATATATATATATATATATATACAAATATTCATTATTGTTCCAATTCCATTCGTACTTAACTCAATCTTGTTCTAATTAACGTCAAATCAAATGAAGTACAGTAATGAAAAACTACTATTAAACAAGAAAGAACATAAAGGATTGAAATGTGACTGTAGATTGTAGCATTATTTATTTCATAATAGTCAGTCAAAACAGAGAAAAAAAAAATGTGAAAGTGAAAATCAATCCATGTAAAGTAATGTCTTAGAAACTTAAAATAATCGATTTTACAAGCTGAAAGAAACAATTACAAAATTGATGATCACATGATAGGAATATTGGCACTAGGTGGTTGTTAGGAAAAATAATAACAGTGGAAAACAATCTATAGTATATTTTTACAAATTAATGCAACCCATTCAAAAAGTACACGTTAAGGTACTAGGCTTTTGATCCACATTGTGTATGAAAGATAGTGATAATAAACGAATCGCTAAACTAAGATAAGTGAATCGGGGTTCGAACCTCTGAAGACCGAATGCATTTAACTACTAAAACGTTACCTAACAGTGAATGAACAATTAACCCCTATTAAAGAAGCAAATGGAATTTTTACGATGAAAATGTATCTAACATTTAACCAACATAGTACGCTACAGTTATCAACAACTCGACATGTGAAAAAGAACATCATGATGATCATGACTTCACAGTTTGAATTACTTTTTTAATGGAGTAATTATATTCACAATTAGATTATCCTTGACTAAGAGTGAGAATACATAGAGCAAGTATTTTACACAACTACAAATGACTTACACTCTAGGATAAAAAACATTTCACATAATATCAACGAGTAACTCACCATTTCAGTTAACCGTTGTTCCAATTCACAAGCATAACTTTTTGATTGAGCTATTTCTTCATGTAAACGAACTAATTCGTTCGAAAGACCTCTTCGATCTGCTGCTGCCGCAGCACTATACGCATCAGCCGTTAAGGTGGGCAATAATTCCGGCGATAACAATTCATTAGGACTAGTTGTTGTCGTTCTTGTTGTACAAGACATTTCAGTTTGAGTAGTGACATCAGTAGTCTGTCAGAAGATGAATATAGGTGAGATAAAAAGTAGATATCCTTTATTTAAGAATAAAACAAGAAACTCGTCTATATGTTATACAGATTTATGCAAGATTCCTACCTCAGTTATTGATAGCCTATTACTGATCATTTGTTCAAGCTCATACAAACGCTTAGTTTTTTCCTCAAGCAGTTGTCTAGCTGAACCAAGTTCTTCATCGAATTGTGACTGAAAGAAAAAAGAAATTTAGATAATAAGGAAAATCTTTAAACATATAGGAATTAGAAAATATGATGACGTAAAAGGGGTAATGATAGTAATAAAAATAATATTAACAATAAGAATCTCTAACTATTGATTGGTTTGATGGGAACATGTAAACTAGGAAACCAATATAATCGTTGCTGGGTGATTTACAACAAATGTGATAGGAACGAACAGGACAGCTTAAAGTTTTAGAGGGAGAGGGAGTGTGTGTTGAATCGCAATAAGCGAAAAATAGCGTTTTCTAAGGAAAACTTAGAAAACACTCTTATGAATACCAACCAATATAGACTAAAATGTTTAATTAATATCTGAAAATACATTGTAAGATATATCGAATTCACCTAGAAAATTATGATGGATATTTGTTATTGGTTTATATATCAATTTGTAAAATATTTATTTTCAGAAGGGGTTTTCTGGAGATTTTAGAAATTTCAATAGATGAAATCATGAGTCAATTGAAGCTAGACCACCATTCAAAACCAGGAAGCACTGGACGGCCAACTCGTCCTACTATGGGAGTCCTCAGCAGTGCGCATCCACGATCCCGCCCCCGGTGGGATTTTAAGCCAGGACCTATGAGTCTTGCGCGCGAGCGCTTAACCATTAGACCACTGAGCTGGCCGGGATCCAACGGTGTTAATGTCTTACTTCAACTAGTCCACGAAATCGCGCCACCGTACACCATTGTCTTCAGTGAGCTGATATCTCACAACAGACTTGGGTGAACTCCACTGGGTCACAGCTTCTCACTAGAACTCCAGGAAATGCCTCTTGAATTTATTTACTATTAATGAGTCTAATAAAATCTATCAACAAATTCGATCCGGAGAGTTAAGTATAACCAATCGAAACACACAAATTTGGTCATAGTATAAAGGTAAGTATCATTGTGTTTATAACGATGTGACTGACATTTCAGACTGTCAAGTATTAGAGTACATAACACTTAATGACAGTAACGTATTTGAGAACAACAGGTGAGGGTATTAGCTTTTGTCTTAGAAATAAACGAAACACGGTTTAAAAACTGTAATAGGATAAACCTATTAGAATATAAACAAAATATCAAACTAAGATACTACTTAATTTCTTACGCTAGAAAAGAAGGCCCAGGACAGAGTGGGTTGAAGAATGCTGGTCGGCGGCCTATGCTGCATTAGGAGTAACAAGCTTAAGTAAGTAAGTAAGTAAGTAATTCCTCGAGCTGAAGTACACAAAACCTGACTTCTAATCATATGAAATACCAAAAAAAATTCCTTAGACCACATTAAAGAAACAACTGTCAAGGGTTCCTTTCATCGCCATATATTGTTTATAACAACGGAACTATACGTTATATTCCTAATTCTACAGAACTTATTGAAAAATTAACCTGTGAAAGAATAAATGGACAAACACTTTGATTGAAATGAGCTTACTTGTAGTTTCGATATAAACAAACGAGCAGATTTCAAATCATCCTCTAATACTGTTCCCAAATTTTCACCAGATTTCAAAATAGATAAATCTTGACATGAATTATTTAAAATGGGTTGTGGATCAACTTTAGAATTAAAATGTAAACAACAACGGTATGATTTAAATAGACTATAAATTGAATAAGTGAATATCATCAGAAATTAGAACAGAAATAACATTGGTAGGACTCCCCAAATGCCCTGGTACCGCCGAGAGTGAGGAGAGTCCGCTGTCCCTCTCCAAATGCTCTCACATGGCCATGCGTATATAGCCTCTGCCAGGGAAGTCCTACTCACTGCCTTCAAGTGGTGGGGGTGTTGTTTACGAAAATGAGAGGACGAAAAGCGAATTTCCGGCACCAGCTTAAACCGGATCACAAACCAATGGTGCACATTGACTGGCTCTAGTATCCTGCGGGAACAAATGGCGTATGAACCAATTGTTGGTCACCGGCCACCATGGGATTGCATCTCCTTACGATGCTCCACTACCTTGTTGATCAGTTCTTCAGGTCAAAGGCTTGGGGCGTGGCTCCCTAAGAAAATCACCTGCTTCGGTTTGGGCACCCGTGTAGTATCAAAGTGCTCACACATACCAAATGAGATCTGTTTGGTGCCTCCTTGTACCAATATCTATGTGTTAAAATAAATAAATAAACAATGTGTTGCAATTGATAGTATCAGTAGATATCAAATGCTTATTTTCTGTGTGCATTATGTAAATTGAATTGAAGATTGACTAAGATAAAAAGAGGTTACAAATAAGATTTCAGAATTTGTAACCAAGGGATTGCCTGGGTATTTTTCAGAGACTATTATTTGATTGAATTTTAAAAACACTGATGAACTCAAATTTTAACCTAACAGTATTTGCAACTGTACTGATACATCCCAGTGAATGAATTTTATCAGTCATAGTATTCATATAAAATCGATTTTAGAATTATCATGATCAGAATTTGGTTGATTGAAAAATATTTTACAAATATATATATATATATATTCATAATATTAAACTGGTTTTTGGGGGGAGGGGCGGGGGAGGGGAATAGTTTACAGACATTTATTTTAACTGACAGATTGGATAGAAACAAATCTCCTTCTTTTTAAATCAATGGTTAGTTGATTGAATAACACCATGTGGATGAATAATTCAAAATTTGTTTAACATCATTACAAATTGGCTGAGATAGAAATTAAGGACAATATGAGATAAAATTGTCAATATTAGTTTTTCTTTTATATTCACATACATTAATTCAACAATTTGAACAAGATCATTGAGACTATAAGTCCACAACAAAATAAAATGTCATCCAACTAACTAAAAAAAAATAAACTGGAACCACTGAGTGACAGTTTCAATTATTTATTTTATTTTAACACATAAATATTGGTACAAGGAGGCACCAAATACATATGCACTACACAAATCTCATTTAATATGTGTGAGGGCTGTGATACTGCCCGGGTGCCCAAATCGAAGCAGGTGGTTTTCTTAGGGAGCCACACCCCGAGCCTTCGTTCGCTTTTCGTCCTCTCATTTTGGTAAACAACATCCGTGTTGCTAGAAAGCAATGAGTAGGACTTCCCTGGCAGAGGCTATATACGCGTGGCCATGTGAGAGCATTTCGAGAGGGAGAGAGGACTCTTCCCACTCTCGGACGTACCAGGGCAATTAACTATGTAAACTTGTGCAGCTACATGAGATTGTGTTTTCAGTCACATTTAGTCTTTGCTAATCTCCATGATCTGTAATGGAAATTATGTCTATATGGAAAATCATAGTAAATAAACCTGTTGTTAGAAAATTTGATGATAATATTGACATGAAGCAAAGGAATAAGATTGTGTACACACTGAAACGATAGACAAGAACTTGGTTACTAACCGCTACACCACGAGGCCAAGAACTTGGTTGAGCCATCTGTGAAGCAGACAACACATTCATTTACCTACTGAGGGATAAGAATATTTCTCGGAATTTGGGGAGTATGAGACATGATCATCTTGACTGAGAACAAGTATAGATCACAGGGATTAGATAACAGAAAATTTTCAAATGCTGCTTGAGAATAGTAGAACCACCAAGTGCATAATGCCAACATCAGAATTTGTCTATACATTAAAATCACTTCTTTACTCAGACATATCAATTCACTCAATTCTCTTCACTTATGTAAACTCTTCAAATCCTATTCAATTATTATGTAACCCATCTTATCAGTTTTTTAACTCTAGGAATCTTGTGTAAACCCATTATTGCCTCTAAACTTATCATATAACTTATCTTATTTGTTTATGAACCTGACTTAATTAATGCATTACCCACCCCTTACTTTTTGATTCCAGAACCAAATGACATCCGACCTGTTCCTGCACACATATAGAGAGTTATTATTGATAATCTTTGTCATTCCAATTCTTTTCATTCATGTATGTCAATTGTTTCACACTATATTTTACCTCAAAGTAAGCAGCTGATGACAAACCACGAAATACAATGAATTCATATTATTCTGCATGCATGTTTATTTTGGCTCTATTTAGAATTAGAATTATTATAAGTTTTTTAGGTTTAACAATTGAAGGCTTTACTCAAAAACCGTTGAGCATACCGGATATACGGCGACAACTCGAACAAAAGCTGTGATAACCTATAAAACAACTCTACCTACTTCTAGCCCCCCCCCCAGTTAATCCAAGAATCTTGTTAACAAGTTTCGTTGGACAAGACTGAAGAAGATTCAATTTACATCCAAGCTAATTTAATTATTATTAATTAGAGTTTTATTATTACAGAACAGAAAATCATAGTGAAATAATCATTACAATGAAAATGTACCGAGAATCAAATAACCAAATACAACTAACACTGAAAGTTAACAAATAGAAATCAAGAAAATGGGTTGAAATTGACTGAATCAAAATTAAAATTGATTTACATTTTTGTACGCTGTATTTGGGAATACAGTATCATCAATATAAATCATTAGAGTCTAGTCCTAGTCGATGATAGCGTTTTTTTAGGGAGTTAGTTTTCTACGAGATGGGGTCGCTAACCCCATGCCCAACCCTCCTCCTTTACCCAGGCTTGGGACCGGCAGTAAATCTAGAAGAGCTATAGGCGGAGAACTACTACAACCATCATCAAGAAAATATAAGGATTTATAAATAGTTGTCTACGCAAGATACTCAACATCTATTGACCGGATACCATCAGCAACAGCCTTTTGTGGTAGAGAACAAACCAGCTTCCAGTTGAAGAGGAAATTAGGAAAAGACGATGGAAATGGATAGGACACACATTGAGGAAATCATCAAACTGCATTACGAGACAAGCCCTAACTCGGAATCCTGAAGGGAAGTGGAAAAGAGGAATGCCAAAAAAAGCATTACGTCGGGAAATAGAATCAGATATGAAAAGGACAAATAACAACTGGAAAGAGCTGGGTAGGATTGCCCAGGATAGTGTTGGATGGAGTGTTGGTGGGCGGCCTATGCACCTCCACGAGGAGCAACAGGCGTAAGTAAGTAAGTAAGCTAGTCTATGATCAAACTAGTGTATATTAATAAAATAATGATAAATGAACAAATCAAAAGATGCGACAACTTACCAACTTTATTTCCTTGTTCACTACATTCAATTTCTTCTATATTACACTTAGATTGATGAATATCTAATGATGTATTATTGGGTTGAAGCTTTTTTATGGAATATTGCAATTTAAGCTGTGTTGACATTTCATGTTGTTGTCTTATATCCTTTTCGATCAATTCACGTTCACGTAGCTGTTGTAACAACTTAAAAATTACAATAGAAAACGTTTCATAAGACATACTATGAATAGAAAATAACTATGTTAGAATACAATATGAATAACAATGATAACAAGAATTTTGACAGAGAGCAAGGGTGATATGGTAGCTTCGAGCCAACACCTAATGAGATTATATACTACAAAATAGATTGGAGATATATTACTTGTGTGGATATAAGTAACTCCGACTGTAGCTCTTCCAGAGTTACTGCCGGTCCCAAACCAGGGTAAAGGAGGAGGGTTGGGCATGGGGTTAGCGCCCCCATCCCGTAGAAACCTAACTCGCTAAAAAAACGCTAACCAGAAAAAATAATTCAAACCATTTAAACTCTGCCCTAGGAGTTAGAGGTAATATGACGCTTCATGGTGAAAGCCGAGTTCCTTCGGAAGCCACGAGGCCGATGCCCCTTCTAACAACCAGAGCAACAATTTTTATAGGTACATGGAACGTCCGGACAATGTGGGAGACCGGGAAAACCAGTCAAATAGCAACGGAAATGTGGAGATACAACTTGGCAGTACTGGGAATCAGTGAAACCCATTGGACCCAAGCTGGACAACAAAGACTAAATATGGGAGAGATGCTGCTATACTCCAGTCACAAAGAGGAAAATGCTCCACACACTCAGGGAGTTGCTCTAATGCTATCCAAAGTAGCACGAAATGCACTTGTAGGATGGAAATCTCACGGATCCAGAATCATCAAAGCATCATTCAAAACAAAGAAGGAGGGGATCACAATGAACATTATCCAATGTTATGCACCCACAAATGATAGCAACGACGACGTTAAAGATCAATTCTATGAGAGGCTGCAATCAATCATACAGAAGTGCCCAAGAAAGGACCTCACCATACTGATGGGAGATCTAAACGCCAAAGTCGGAATGGACAACACCGGATATGAAGACATCATGGGACTACATGGACTAGGAGAGAGAAACGAAAACGGGGAAAGATTTGCAAATCTGTGTGCATTCAATAAATTGGTCATACGCGGCACAATATTTCCACACAAACCTACACACAAAGCTACATGGATCTCACTGGACCACACCACAGAAAACCAGATAGATCATATTTGCATCAATAAAAAGTTCCGAAGGACAATGGAAGATGTGAAAACCAGGAGAGGAGCGGACATAGCTTCAGATCATCACCTGGTTGTGGCCAAATGGAAACTGAAGCTAAAGACGAACTGGACAAATTGACAAGCAGTACTACAAAGGTTCAATACAGACTTCCTTCGAGATACTGACAAACTCAATGAATTCAAGGTAGCTCTCAACAACAGGTTCCAAGCCTTACAGGACTTACTGAAGGAAGAAGAAACTACTATAGAGGATAACTGGAAAGGTATCAAAGAAACATTAACTTCAACGTGTCAAGAGGTTCTGGGCCCCAAGAAGCATCATCACAAGGAATGGACCTTTATAGAAACACTGGACAGGATCAAGGAAAGGAATAACAAGAAGACAGCAATTAAAAACAGTCGAACAAGAGCAGAGAAAGTCCAAGCACAAGCTGAGTAAATAGAAGCAAACAAACAAGTGAAGAAGAGCATTAGAGCTGACAAGCAAAAATACATGGAAAAACTAGCAACGACGGCGGAAAAAGCTGCAAGAGAAGGAAATATGAAACAGCTTTGTGATACAACGAAGAAACTAGCAGGGAAATATAGTAAACCAGAGAGACCAGTCAAAGACAAAGAAGGAAGACCAATCACTGAGATTCATCAACAGCGGAAAAGATGGGCAGAGTACTTCGAGGGACTCCTGAATAGGCTGGCTCCAATGAATCTATCGGACATCGAAGCAGCACACACAGATCTTCCTATAGATGTCAATCCACCAACGACCGAAGAAGTCAGAATGGCCGTCAGACAAATCAAGAGCGGGAAAGCAGCAGGACCTGACAATATACCAGCTGAAGCGTTGAAGTCAGACATCGAAGTAACTACAAGCATGCTTCATCTTCTATTCAAGAAGATTTGGGAGGAGGAACAAGTGCCGATGAACTGGAAGGAACGACACGTCATCAAGATTCCAAAGAAAGGAGATCTGAGCAAGTGTGAAAACTACAAAGGCATTACACTACTGCCAATACCAGGTAAAGTCTTCAACAGAGTGTTACTAAACAGGATGAAAGAGGCAGTAGACGCTCAGCTTCGAGATCAACATGCTGGATTCCGTAAGGACCGGTCGTGCACAGACCAGATTGCGACACTACGGATCATCTTCGAACAATCAGTTGAGTGAAACTCGTCATTGTACATCAACTTCATTGATTATGAGAAGGCATTTGACAGTGTAGATAGGAGGACGTTATGGAAACTTCTTCGACACTACGGAGTTCCTGAGAACATTGTCAACATTATCCGGAACTCATATGACGGACTGAAGTGCAAAGTAGTGCATGAAGGACAGTTGACAGACGCATTCCAAGTAAGGACCGGAGTCAGACAAAGCTGTCAACTCTCTCCCTTCCTCTTTCTTCTGGTGGTCGACTGGATTATGAAGACCTCCGTATGCGAGGGAAAACACGGTATACAATTGAAAGCTCAGAACCAATTAGACGATTTGGACTTTGCGGACGACCCAGCCCTCCTATCACATACACACGAACAAATGCAGATAAAGACAGCCAGCATAGCAGCAGTCTCTGCATCAGAAGGCCTCAACATACACAAAGGGAAAACCAAGGTCCTCAAACACAACACGGAGAACAGCAATCCAATCACTCTTGATGGCGAAACTCTGGAAGACGTGGAATCCTTCACATACCTGGGAAGCATCGTCGATAAACAAGGAGGTTCAGATGCAGACGTCAAGGCGAGGATTGGCAAAGCTAGAGCGGCATTCCTTCAACTGAAGAACATATGGAACTCAAAACAACTTTCAACCAATATCAAAGTCAAAATCTTCAATACGAACGTCAAGGCAGTTCTACTGTACGGAGCTGAAACTTGGAGAATTACAACAACCACCATCAAGAAGGTACAGGTATTTATCAATAGCTGTCTACGCATGATACTCAACATCTATTGAACGGATACCATCAGCAACAGCCTTTTGTGGGAGAGAACAAACCAGCTTCCAGTTGAAGAGGAAATTATGAAAAGACGATGGAAATGGATAGGACACACATTGAGGAAATCATCAAACTGCATTACGAGACAAGCCCTAACTTGGAATCCTGAAGGGAAGTGGAAAAGTGGAATGCCAAAAAAAGCATTACGTCGGGAAATAGAATCAGATATGAAAAGGATGAATAAGAACTGGAAAGAGCTTGAAAGGATTGCCCAGGACAGGGTTGAATGGAGAATGCTGGTGAGCGGCCTATGCTCCTTCACGAGGAGTAACAGGCCTAAGTAAGTAAGTAAGTAAGTACCACAATGTGCATTAACTAATACGAAACCTACATCAAACACCCTCCAGTTTACAAGTGAATATAGAATTAGCTGTGTGCTTGAATAAGTATAGTGATTATAGAAAAAATCACAATCCTTTTTGTCAGTAGCCACCAGAAGTATAAATTTGTGTACTTAGCTTTGAGCCTTATTTCAAGTGTGAAGATTATGAATACTAAATCGCTGCCCTGACCGAAGTAGTTGGAGTAGGATTCGGATCCGCAGTTAAGCGGCTGGAAGTCAAACGTTTAAACCACTGAGCCACTGCTCTGAGAAAATAAATAAAACATGCTCATAAATAGACCTAGAGTAAAATTAGTCAACTGCTGATTGATACATGCCATAAAATTCCATCAATTTGTTCCATGGTGATTTTAACGCACAAAAACACAATTTCCAGTTTAATTTCCAGTTCATGCTATCAAATAAAGGCTCGCATAATATCAAGTCAGAGGTTCACTTAGAATTCATATCCTTTTGTGCTAATGTAAGTAGGAGTACTGTGTGATAGAGAAGGGTTTTGTATGTTAAAAAGCACACTTATATTTCTAAAGACCCATTTTCAATAAATCATTATATGATTGTAAAGTTTCAGTAAATGATATCGTTGAAAAGAAAATCGTCTTCGTTAAATTACATTTATCCTCTATTCAATGACATAATAGGTTAGTCTAATTATTCAAAAACATTCTCTTAAATATGAATCTTACTTGAGCCTCAACATCACGTAATTTTGACTTGAGTTCTTCAATTTCACTACACTTAATACGTCTTTCCTTGAACTCTTTTAATTGAGAAAGCTGTTGATCTACCTATCAATAATAAAGTTTAAAATGTTTTTATTATTTTATACTACTATCAGAAAAACTAAATTTTATGAGATATCGTAAAAAAAAAGTGAAGTGAACACGAATTGTTAGTGTACAAAATATACATATTTCTTTCCAACATATGCCATGGATCGTATAATGTTTGGAAGTAATTATAAGAAAACTATTTTAATTGACTTACTTTAAACGTAATACAACGAAGTAATTAAGTATAAGTTTATAGGCACGATGCTTTGAGCTGTACATGTTGTAGATAAGTTGGTAATACTACAGTGACTTCCTAAAACCGAAGCATAGGTGAGGAGCAGAACTAAACAATAGTTCAATAAACAATTAATATGCCTTAAATTCAAGGTATAATACAACAGACCTCAACATATTCATTCAAAAGATTGAGATTTTAAACTCGAAGAATGCGCTTACGGCTGAACCAGAAAATTATTCATACTCTATTAGGTGTGAAAATTTTAAACACTGATATTCGTGAAAATGAAAACCCAATATCGATTATATTCATGGCTACCAAGTTTCCATAATATAGCTGGCCTATAACGAATTTTCATACCTCCTTGCATAACCCTGTACATTTCTTCCAACAGATAAAACTACATCTTAGAGATGATCTGTTTTATTTTTATTTATTTTATTTTATTTTTAACACAAGCATTTGTACAAGGAAGCAACAAATACATATACGCCACACGAATCTCAATTGATTTGTGTGAGGGCTGTGATACTGCACGGGTGCCCAAACCGAAGCAGGTAGCTTTGTTAGGGGGCCACACCCCGAGCCTTCGACCTGAACGTCTGACCCACAAGGCAGTGGAGCATCGTAAGGAGATGCAGTCCCATGGTAGCCGGTGACAACCGATTGGTTCATACGCCATTTGTTCTTTCAGGATACTGAAGCCCATGCCCATGTGCACCATTGGTTTGAGATCCGGTTAAAGCGCCGGACGATCTGTTACCCTTTGAATAGTAGACAGAATCCAGTTTGATGTGATCAGTCAGCTTCAACGTAGGAACAGGCACGTATATGCATCGGTCCAAGTTGCCATACCTCATTAGCGCAACAAGATGAACACCGGATTCATAGAAGTAGTCACTTCTAAGGTAGTAGTACATAGAAGAAAGATTTTGTATAAGGATATAATACAGGAAGAAAGAATTAGTTCGTAGAAAGAAAGATAGGAAGCGATTTTAATCTCTTAGTTCAAAGGAAGACAGAGTGTGTATGAAACGACGCCATTGTGATCGATTCTGAGTCATGTCACCAAGAGTCTCCAACCATTGGTTACGATAGTCACGCGGACCCCAACCAGGCAGTTTGAATCTACCAACATGGCTCAGACCAAAAGTTAGTGCCATCGTGGACTGATGCCACGTTTTGGTTTAGCCGCCCCTAACTCTCTTCCAACCATTCGCAACACTAGTCAGCATTGCGCGTCGTGGTAATCGGTGTTCAGGCATACGCAACACGTGGCCCAACCATCTCAGTCGATAAGGATTCATAACCTCATCAACCGATTTACCATCATTCCCTAATACCCTGCGTCTAACCTCAATGTTACTTACCCGGTGATCCCAGCAGATACTAACAATATTTCTAAGGCATCTGTGGTCAAATACTAGTAACTTACGAGTATCTTCTACTCTTAAAGGCCATGTTTCGCAGCCGTATAGTAGAACGGAACGAACTGCCGCGCAGTATACTCGTCCCTTAATTGATAGACGGATATCTCGCCTTCGCCATAGATGACGTAAGCCTCTTTACCAAACAGGACTATGTCATCTGCGTATTCTATGTCGACAAGTGGACCTCCTGGTAGGAGATCGATGCCCAAGAATTCAGTCGATGAGAGCGTTATTTCCATCGGTAGATCTATGATGAAGGCCTTATAAACAAACACCTTAGGTAAAGTGAGGGCATACAACCAAGTCTCTGCATTGTCCCATTCAAGCAGTGAGGTGAGACAGGGTTGCCCAATCTCACCATTCCTCTTCAACTTTCCCATCGACGATGTTCTGGGAACAGCTCTGATGAATGCGTGGATCTGTTGTCTGGAGAAAGACTTCTCGACCTTGAGTATGCGGATGATATTGTCTTACTGTGGAATGACACCTAAGCCATATAATACGCACTTTATCAGTTGGCAATTAGTAAACATATCTACGGTATTTGCTTTGTACCTTCCAAATGCGAGGTACTTTTACAAGATTGACAGGACCCTGAACTCACCCTGAGTAGTGAGAGGATAAAAGTAGTTGAGTTCGTATATCTGGGTAGCTGCATAAGTGCTGATGGTAGCGAGAGCGATTAGATCAATTTATGTATAGTGAAAGCCAGAGCAGCTTCTGCCAATCTGGGAGACCTCTGGAGCAGAGATGTGGTCAGTGTATGACACGGTGTCGTAGTATGGAAGAAAGCTGTACAAAACAGGATTCTGTTGGTCCTTCACGACTCCTTGGTTGGGGTCCTAGAGATGGTGCAACACTGGCAAGAGAAGTTACCAGACACGACTCAGAACAGAAGCCAGTAGCGATCCTGATGTAGCTTCATTTTAAGTTCTCCATAAAAAATGAACTTAACTTCTTCAACCGAAAGAATTCTTTTCGGTTTCATTTCTCCCAACCGAATTATTATTATTATTATTATTTCACCCTCATACACTAATTCCTGCTAGTCGTTGTTCTTTTTTTGTTATACGTACTTTACGTTCTCTATCTCTTTACAACTTCATTATTATTGTGTGACGCAAATATATTTGGTGCCCCCTTGTATCAATGTTAATCTGTTTTAATAAATAAATAAAATGACCGAGTCAAACCGCAATGACGTCTAAGCAAAAAAAGACTAGCCTACACTTGAATACCTTCATATAGAATCAATAAGGGTACATGTAGTAAGCTACTTACTTTTAGACGAAGATCTTCACATTCTTGCTGTAAATCAATTTTTTCCATTTCCAACTTTCGTGTATGAGCCATTAAGTCTTGAAAGCCCATAACGCGTAGTTTCAAACTGAGTAAAAAAAAGAAGTTACGAAAATAAATTGGTATGTGAAAATTTAACTCCAACGAATACTTTATTTGTTTATTTATAACACGAAACGGTACAATGGGGGATTCAAATAGCATCGTCTAGTACGACGATGTCATCTGCATATTCAATGAGTCTTTTCTTCAGGTAACAGATTCACATAATCTACACGTACTTCCTTCAAAGCTGCTTCCAAAAGATTGTTGACGGCGAAATTAAGGAGGAATGGAGGGACTGTACAACCCTGTCTACTACTGCGTTTGAACTGGAAATGCTTCTATGACCTTATTCTGAAGTGTTTGTGTGCAGAGCCTTACTAAGATTTCCAAGTGCAGAATTATTCAACAGAAAATCACTAAATACAGCTTTGTCCAAGAAGTTGCAGCGGATCTTGACATAAAAAACAGCTGTTGGTCTGAAGGTGTGATGGCGTTCAAGTGTTTGGAGAGAGGATGGATCAAAAGATCCACAGCCCAGTCATCTGTTGTGCAAGAAATAATGATTAGGACAGCTTACTTCTTGATTTCTTCCTCTCGCAAAGCCAATTCATTACGACAGTGTGCCAATTCATCTCCCTGATCATGAAGGGCTGTTAGTTCACGAGATAAACGGAGAGCCCGTGATTCTGATTCAGTTGCTCGAACAGCGGCTTCTTCAAGCTGTTTTCGTAATCCAGAAACTAAACTCTCCGCCTCATCTCTACAAGCTCGTTCCTTTTCAAGTTCCACTGCTAAACGACGCTTTTCACGTTCTGATTCTCGAAATTGTGTCTGCAAAAGTGAGCCAAAATAGATCTCATAAGTCTTACAACTAGAAAAACAGAATGGACATTTTGACTGAAAAACAGGACCATGACATGGAGAGTAATAAGTACACCTCATAGCCGCCCATGAAATCTAGGACCTCACTGAAGTGCCTATTTCTCTCTCTTCATATCAGTTTTGGTTAGATAACATAGTTTCAGCAAAATCGTTTAGCAACTATGCAATGTGTAAGGTTTGAGTTGTTAACTAAGAGCAGGTCTATATAATTTGAATTGAGTACCCAGGCTAAACCTCGTCAGTAGGAAGCACTACGATCTGCACGAAAAAACATCCAGAAAAGATGCAGAGAAGCTTGTGCAATAATTGCGGTTTATAGAGATAACCTCTTAATCAACCATTGCTTTGAAACCTGCACCAAAAACGAGATAAATAGTACCGCCGAGTTTACGTATGACCAAGAAGTTAGTGTCATTTTCAACAGATGATGTTGTCAGTATATTTTTAGCATCGGTTTCACGAAAAGGAGGCTTGAAAAGCTTGCGTAGTAGGAAATTAAGACCAGTAGAAGTAGATAAATATATCAATTTCATACTAAAGCAAGGTCAAAAGACTGAATTTTCGATTAAAATAACGAAAGCACTGATTCAACTTAATTTTTCAATGCATATTAGTGTACTGTTTCTAGTCACAGTTGTGCATGAAGTCAATGTATACTTAGTTACCCAAACTGGAGTTTTTAGGGGTTCAAACTAACATGATGGTTTAAATTGTAATGATTCGGGTAATATCAGGAAACCAAGCTTAATCCGATTACCTACGACCATCGTCAAGTCCAAAATCAGTGGTTATTAGCGGGAATTCATGGTAGTAACCAATCGGATAAAAGTGTATAAATTTCAATCAATAGCATAGCAATGAATGTAGTTTGACTAGAAATATAAAATAGGAAGTACATCCCTATATGGTACATCAGCAGTCATAATATTATGGAATCACTTAGTCTGGAATGAGTAGAAAAGATTTCTCACCGTGTCAGTTAAATTTAAACCTCTTTAAATAACAAAAAGCAAGACCGAGGAATGTAAATAACCATAGAAAACTTTATGAGTTGAGATGAAAAATAGTTCACAAGAACACTAACAAGACATGTATGTTTACCTTGTGTGTCAATGATGGAGAATCTAGGAGACACTTTAGGGATGTGAGAGGCGAGGCTAGAGGTGGAGGTGCATGATGAGTATGATTCGTGTTATGTTCCGAATTATCAGTTAAATTCAATCTGGATGCAATACACAGACTTCGATCAGGAGTGTTACACAATGAAAGATTATTGGGTCTGTGATCAAGACCATTTTTTAGTTTGTTTGTATGTCCATTAGCATATTCTGTAGGCGAATTAGGGCGAGTGAATTCAAATCCGAATGTGTTCACCGAAAGACCATAATTTCTATTGTCAGTACAAATCACTTTTTGTCCGTTACACATGTCTGTTGAAGATAGTGGCTTAGATGATGGTTCTGAGATTTCTTCCTGCATAAGCAAATTAAAAGTTACGATTCAGTAATAAAATAAAACCGGATAATCGTCTATATAAGAGTTATGAATACTAGTTAAGTTTCTGTCATACAACAACCAACAAGTTACTTTACTTGCTAGGACGATACACAGACCTTTCAGTGTGTGGTGAGGCTTGGATAGCTCTGACTGAGTACTTTTATTAGAAACATGTATTAGAAAACTTTGAAGAGGTATCGTCTGAAGCTACGTACAAATGTAGGACTTACTTCTATTTTACAAGTAATGGTTTGATGACGAGGTGGCAAGTTATCAGTGTAGATAAGATGTGATGAATCAAGAATTCTGCTTGTGACCATATCCCGAGTGAACTCATGATGGAGGGATAACTGGGTCATAGGCACTTGAATCAAATGAAATATGGCAGTTTGCATATCCAAACTCAAATCCAAAGCAGGATCCATGAATGACTGTTTGGAGGGACATTGAAGACATCCCAATAAAACGGTCAGGCATAACTGAAGAGAAATAAAATAAGTTCAGCTTAACTAAATATATTACGGCACAAAATAAGGGCACTTTAATACACAAATAATAGTACAAGGAAACTAAATCAAGTATCCATCTCTAAATTTATGCTTAGAATAAAACATTTCTGATACTATCTTTTCGTTGATTCCATAGGATCAGTAAAACAGCAAAAACACCCACTGAAATGTGGAATGCGAGGAAAATATGCAGGCATTAAGACATATCAAGTGTGTACCTAAAATAACAACTTTCTACGAGCTATAAGGCTGGAGAAACAGCTACAATCACTGATAAACTGAAAAGATAACTCACCCCAAACAATTCCACATCGTTAGCCTTTCCAGAAATCACACCTTCGATGTCAAACAGATTAGAAACTCCAGGATGAAAAGTTGCTGAATATAGTGAACGTGATGACTTAATCGCTTACCATCCAAAAACAAACCGATCCGATCCTTGAGACATTCTGAGGTAGCAACTGCTGGAAAAGCACCCCTAATTATTGTCATACATCAAACTGCTAACTTACGAAAGGTCTATTAGATTGTTGAGGATTTCGCCATCCACAAGGCTAACATTCCTCTCAGTTATTAGTGAAATCCATTTTAATAGGCTTTCTTTCATAAAACCATCCATGAAACACCAGAAATACACGAGTTTACACACTAGGTTTGTGGGGATTACTTAATGGAAAGTTTGCATAAGAAAAAGAAACCAAACGATGGGCAATGCCAACCAAGACTTTGACTTCTTATTACGCGCATTATGCAAACGCTCACAGCGCGACCAAGAAATCTGATTCATGTAAACGATTCAGTCTTCAGTCTTCAGTAATAAAAATAGTAGGTTGGTAAACCTGTGTTAATCCTAACAGGTTGGCTTCCAGTGAAGGTCCAGTTTCTCCTTGAAAATATTCACTGATGGGGCTGATACCACTTGATCGGGCAAAGCGTTCCAATCATTGACTACACGATGAGAAAAACGGAACCCCACCTTGAGTTTATTAGATCGTGGTTTATGAACATTCTTGCTATGACCTCGGAGATTATTAGTGCTGGAGGGAGCGAAAAGATAAGACATTAACACCGAAATCATAATTCAAGATACGACATGCCAGTATAAGGTCACCTCGAGTCCTACGATACGACAAGGGGAAAAGGTTTAGGCGTTTTAAACGCTCATTGTAAGGGAGTTTAGAAAGACCCTTCACTAATTTCGTTTTCACACGCTGGACGCGCTCAAGTGAGTATCCTTTACCAGACATGGGCTAGCTACTTGGATGCAGTACTCCGAATGTGGTCTTACATAGGTGGGATATAGGATTCGAAACATTTCCTCGTCAAAAGATTTGAATGCTCGACGAAGTAACCACAACGTACGGAAACCTTTGACAGCGGCTGCGTTGCAATGCGTAGTTGTTTTTAGGTCATGAATTATCATCACTCCTAAGTCCTTATGTTCTTGAACACATGGAAGAGGTTTACCATCAATAGTATAATGGTAACTATTGCCGTGACCGATGTGCATTAGCACACTCTTCCTAGAATTGATTTCTAAACCCCAATCTCGAGCCCATCTAACTAAATTGTCTAAGTCAGCTTGAAGATCCAGATGATCAGCCTCACCTCTTATTGCTATCCATATTTTGACATCATCCGCAAATAATAATGTCGACGACCTAAGCAACAGCGGTTACTCATTTACGGAGAGAAGGAAGAGCAGATGGCCTAAAATGGTGCCTTGAGGTACACCACTTTTGACCGGCTTCTAATCGGATAGCGTCCCATTGACCCTAACTCTCTGTCTGCGGTCACATAAGAAGTTTCCCATCCAATCCTGTACAGTACCTATTATTCCGAAGCTTGTGAGCTTCTTCATAAGACCTAAGTGTGAAACCTTGTCAAATGCTTTGCTAAAATCTATGAATATCACATCAACAGACAGACCTTTATCTAAGGCTGCTGTCCAATCCTCTCTCGCAATGAGTAGGTTAGTTAAGCATGAACGCTTATCACGAAATCCATGTTGCTCAGGAGCTAACAGATTGCGTAAATCTATGTGGCTTAACAACCTAACCCGAATTATCTTTTCAAGTAACTTGACGACAATGCTAGTCAGACTGACAGGTCGGTAGTTAGATACGATGTGTCTCTGACCATCCTTAAATATAGGACTGACAATAGCATCTTTCTAATCCCTAGGTAGTTGAGCGAGTGAAAGGGACATGTTAAAGAGTGTCGCGAGCGGTTTTGAAATAATGTCTGCAAGAGATGACAGCAGTCGTGGGTGTAACCCGTCAGAACCCGGCATCTTACAAGGTTTGAGGTTAATTATTAACGGAAGGACAGTTTCTTCAGTCACCTGTACAAATTCAATGGCTGGTATCTCGGCGTGATTGGGACAAGTATTTGTTACAATTAACGTAGAGTAGACTTCGCTAAAGTAGTTTGAAAATGTCTCAGCTTTGGCTCGATCTGATTCAGCTAGCAAATCTGAATTATCGTGTAACAATAATGGGGGAATACTATCACTACGTTTTATTCGCCGTTTAACATACGGAAACAATCGTTTTGGACAAGTACGGCTATCATATACCAACTGTCGTTCGTAAGTAATACGGGATTTAGCTATTGTTTTCTTACAAATATGCCGGAGTTTTTGGTACTCACGCTTAAAAAATGCATGACCTGTCAACAAGAATAAGTCCCAGAAGTGTTTCCTACGCTTTAACAGCTTACGGGTTTCCTTATTAATCCATGGAGGGCAATGCGATAGCTTACGTGCTGACCATGGGATAAACGGCGACGTTACGGACTCGAATGTAGCCTTAAACTTAATCCATTCGTCTTTGATCGATCAATCTGCGTCAACCGACCAATCAGTAGAGATCGCACAGTCTCTGATTGCCGGAATATTAGCCCGCCAGATATTGGGACGGAGTGGAGCAGATACAAATCGTATACCATGTGTCCTAAACTTAAAGTGAAGTACAACGTGATCACTGTTCACTAGTGGAGGAAGGTGCTGAATATCAAAGACGTCCTCACAGTGGTGGGTGAGGGCAAGGTCCAGCAGTGACGGATCACGTTTCAGATCAATATGTGTCGGTTTAGTGATACATTGGACAAGTGCACACTGAATAACTGTTGATAAAAATTCGCTATCGAAACCTCCACCTGGAGCTGTAAGCTCTATCCAGTTTATGTGCGGAGCATTGAAGTCCCCAATGATGAGGCAACTTTCTGCCATACTCCAAGAACAGATGTGTCTTAAGATAAAGTCGTCAGCAAGACAACACGGACTACGGTATATTCCGCCTATAGTCACTAACCCATTTCTAGATTTAATCTTACAACATGCTACCTCACATGTACCACTAACATGAACCTCCGATATGATTGATTGTATACGAAAGTGGTCCCTAATGTATAACATTATGCCTCCCCCCTTGCGGCTTAAAACTCTATCACTTCTAATACAGATATAGCCTGCAATGATGGGAGAACATTCTATATCTACGGTGAACCAAGTTTCTGTAATGACAATTATATCGGTTCAGAAAGTTAAGAAGAGGATAAAAGAGGTTTTCGCCTAGCTAGCCTCCGTATCTACTTACAATCAATTGAAGATGGCTCTAAGTAAGGACCTGAGTACATGAAACGTAACGGAATGAGTGGTATTCTGGCAAATTATTCCGTTTGAGTTTGAAAGGGACAGAAGTCTGGATGGCTTGTGTTAGCTCTGATGATGGGAGTATCTCAGTTGATCTAAGTTCATTCTGAGCGTCTCGACAGAAAGATTCGATCACTTGTTAAATTAAAGAATCCTGCTGGTTGGTGATTCGATGTAAAAGTCTGAAGTTATTTGACGAGTAAGTGGTTCTGGGCTTGTGGATATTTATGGATTGTCCTTGGAAATGTTAAGTTCCGGAATACAATAAAAACGAGGGTGTTTCGGATGTGAAATCATCATTAAGTAGCTTAAATATTGTGACCAAGTTGCCTCTAATCCTATGCAACATGGGAAATAGGTTTACTTTGGTCATTCGTCATATGGTCGCTTTGTTATTCCTCGAACTAACTTAGCTGAGGTTCTTCGAATATCTTCCAACTGTTTAGTCTTAATCAGGCAGAAGCTGACTGTTTGTATGACGTACTCAAGCTTGACTCAAATGAACATAGTATGCGAAGTCATAAAGGTTTAAAGACTAGAGGTAGTATTTATAAACCAGAGGATTCTAAAGCTTCCAGAAGCCAATGTATGGGAGTGTTAATCAATTATTGACTGATGACAACTTATAAATCAATGTGTCACGGGGTATTTCAACATCATTCACTGTATATGTATTTGTGCCATGTTGACAAATATGCATCAGTGTGCATTTGCAAGCATGTATCGGCAACTAACAAATCCTGGATAACCCAGACAATTTCCGTAGGTATTCTGAAACTCTAATAAGCCATTCTTTCTTTTATTGCCCTCGATGTTTGGATATCGTTAACATATAAATAGACTGACGATGTTAGTAGAAAGGATTTTACATGCAAGAAAAATTGCACTGGTCCCGAAATTTTTGTAGCAGCTTTTCTGTCATGACGTCCGAGTGTGTTTAGATCCACTTTTTGATGGACAAATCAATCTTCTTGAGTCATCATATGGACACATATTTGGCTTCATGGTCATTCGCTTGTGACCCTGAGCGTTTTGGTGGGAGTATTTGTGTTGTATGTCTATCCATCACTGTGTTCGTTTACTGTTTTTAGTCTGCTTTCATATGTCTAACCACAAATATTTAGTAGCGTTCAGTGAAATTGGATGGGTATTGATGTTTACTTCTGTGCTTATCTCGTATCTACTTAAGCGAATATCTAAAATAAATGCTTTCAACATATTTCTTATGTAGCTTTTATAAACAACGGGGTTTAGCCTAAGCATGAATACGAGATGCAGTAAGAAATTTGCATTTAATGGCCTATTTATCCTTATCATCATTCATGGGGTGAACTCAGTAGTATATTATACCCTGTGACACTTCAGTAAACATTATTACTCAGCTAGACAACTGTGATTTAGCATGTACTCTCCTGCATTCCAACTAGGAAAACGTTTATCTACAGAACTTACTCACAATCCCGGTATCTTTTGATCAAAGTAGCAGCCTGTTTTGTGGGTTATTATCAAACCCCTACAGAAGTAGATGAAGGCTGGATTTTGGGACTATATTTTAAATTCCTAAAAATGCATCAAGATTCCTCGTGAGGGACTTTGAGATAGTCACTTAAATTACTTCATACATGAGCCTCCAAGACTCGACTGTGATTAAAAAGTAGGAAAGTAGTTTATAGTTCGTATTGCCCATCGAATCCTACTCTACGTCACGATGAATTGCTAAGATTGCTTAACTCGTCGATACTTTGTTTGGACAGATTAAAATTGTGTGTTGTCGTACATCTTATGAAATGTTATACAAAGCCTTCTAGTTCATAGACGAGTAAAACGGAAGGTCCTGACCATCTCATAGTATCTTTATCCAAAACATAGAATGACGCTCTTCACATTCATTAAAGATTACAAACATTCACCGGTTCACTTCACTATCTCATCATTGTCACGGATGTTCTTCGCATATAAGGATG